ACTCCGTAAATTTGTCAAAACATTCTGTTATTGCAGTAATATTAAGAACACTACTGTAGTGGATCGCACATCTTGTACCACAGAGTTGGTGTACGGGAAAAAATGCCCAGACAGGAAAAAACCCAAAACCAACCAATGACAGAAGGGCTGAATCATAAGCCCGCCTTGACAAGTAGCAGCTACAAATAAGTATTGTAGCTGCAGCTACAAATAAGTATTTGTAGCTGCTACTTGTCAAGGCGGGCTTATGATTCAACCCTTCTGTCATTGGTTGGTTTTGGGTTTTTTCCTGTCTGGGCATTTTCATGCCCTTTGATGGCTCCGTAAGGCAGCTGCGCTACCTACAGAGACCAGTTGGTTCTTGGCTTGCGCGCAAAGCGCGGTGTGTTCAGATTTCGGCATTAAAGCCTACATCCGGGTTGGTTTTGTTCCTCCGTCGTTGGACGATGCGCGCTTAGCCAGCGCCATCTGATATACTTTAAATTTTCTGTCGAAATTACAACAGGGACGGAAGTGGTAATAAAAAGGACGTGCTTCGAAAAAACTCGTGGAAATGAATGTATAAGTCGTATTGCTATCCTGTTTTTCGTTTTCCCAGTTCTTCATCGAATCTTTTGATTCTTGTTTCTCTAATTAGCTTACATAATTGCTTATACAACACAAAATATATCACATGTCTATTACTTCAAACAGCAGGGAGGCAAAATAGGGGAACTTTCTTTTGGAGCGTGCTTTGTAGGATTTGCATGGCAGATATTACAATCAAGTAGTACACTCCTCAATTGCAACGCCAACCGGCTTGGGTATTATTCGCTTCGGGTCGCTCAGCAAATTCAGAATTAAATTTCCGGCAAATGGCCATTCTGCACTGGTACTGATAGTTCGGATGACTACAAGTGTTTTACCGTGTATTGTACAACAATACACGGTGAAAACACCTGTAGTCATCCGGCCCTAAAACTATCATAAGCAGTGTAGTTTTGTTTACCAGTGGCCAGTTTAGCGGGACAGGCGGGGGACACGTCCCGCTAAAAGTTTTGCAAAAATGTTACAAGGTGGAAAGAGTATAGATACTTTAGACAGAGACTAGACACGTCAACGGGCTTTACAAGAAAAACGCAATAATTAACATTTTTTGTGGAACCTGTAGAATTTTAAGTGTATTGGTTCTGCCGAAATTAACGTGCTATGAGAACAGCGGATGCCGGCGACGGGAAAACACTGTCGATTACGTCATTTTAATTCAAAGTACGAATTTCTCAATTTTAGAACGTACTGATAAAATAAAAATCTCACCGATGCCGGGATTCGTTTTGTGCTTACAAGTAAACTGAAGCAATTTGCCCTTTTAAATTATTTTCTAATCGATGTTGAAACTTGACAGTAAAATCGTTCGTTCGGCTTCGCGCGAAAATTTGCAGTTCTTAATTAATGATGTTTTTAACAATAAGATGTTTCTAGGTATAACAACGTCAAAGACTGTCGCTGTGCTTCAAGCCCGGCACAAGGAATTTTTGGATGGGGGGGGGAGGGGGGGCGGACGGCCGCCGGGGGGCTGTCGAGCGCGCCAAATTCGCCGGGGGGCGGACTGATTTTGGACCGTCCGCCGGGGGGCGGAATGAAATTTTTGAAAAATGTTTTAAAAAAATTAAAAAAATCCGAAAAAAATTAAAAAAATTCGAAAAATTCGAAAAAAATTAAAATTTATTCCGCCCCCCTGGCGGCTTTCCTGCAGCCTCGTTTTCCAGTCCGCCCCCCCCGGCGGTCAAAAATCGAAAACAGGGGTGGGCGGACCGCCCCCCCCCCCCCCCCCTTTGTGCCGGGCCTGCTGTGCTTGCACTGCGGATGTCCAACCCTTCGGTTTTCGAGATTTAAACTGCCATAACTTTTCTAGCCAAATATCTAGTAATTGTCAATAGATACATTTTATAGGTTGTGGATGTTGTTATCTGTTATTGGTCGCTAGAGCCCCAAGCCTCGGTAAAAATGGTTTCAACGCCATTGCCTCCTTATGAGCGGCTCCTGACTGATGCACAACAAATGAGCTAGCAGAACACTGTCATCGTTCGCCATGACACCGACGTTTATTGGCTGGGAAACATTCAGAATATCTCCGGAGACTACGCGTTCATCGACTTTCAATCATCAAAGGCCAAACCCAGCTGGATTCATGCGAGCCGCGTGTGGCCTCTGCATTTCCCTAACGATGAATACAAGCATGGGAAGACCCTGGTGTTTGTGGCTCTTCGGGACGAAGATGACGGGCCATTTCGTTTTCGGCCCGCGCTTAGTTTGAAAATCGCTACTGCATGCGGTCATTGCCAAACGTTAATTTTTTACGTCGAAACGTAGAGTAGAGAAACTGAAAGCACTTCCTGCATGCCTCGCACGGACATAGTGGACAAATGCCAAATTGGCTTATTTTTGTCATGAATTTTTGTTAAGCCTACCACCAACAATGGGTCTGTTAGACTGATCATATAACCTGGACCGTATAACAACCGCATAGGTATCTACTCTTTGCTTAGTCAGTTCGCTGATTGGCTTTCGCCCAGTCTCTTGGGACAACGCGCAATCTCTTCCTTTCCAAGCGATTCCGCAAGCCATTTGCGCTGGGCTTCGGCTTTTCGTCCCGCCCATGGCGGTGCCCGCAGTCACTTCGGTCATGAATGAGCACACCAGCTGGATCCAGCCGAACAATAGAAACTCGTACACCCAGCTCATCAACTTCGCCTCCATACAGCAAAGATAACTGTAGAAGACGTGCGGCGAAAGGTCACTGTTTAGGTTGTTGTATACTCGCACGAAGTGTTTGGAAGCCACCTTATGTGAAAGCTCAAAGTGGTGCGAACCGTACAGTGCCTGACACTTCCTGTACACGGTCGATCCCAGACTCCCAATCCATTGTCTACATTTTTTTTCAATAAGAGGAAGTACTTTCAGTAAATAAGCGATCATGGTGACCGCATCGTAACATCAAAAAAATATACACTAGTGTAAATGTACATAAATGTAAATGCCGTAAATGTACATAAAATTGTGCAGTACAAAACCACTGTATAATTATTTACAGATACTTCAGTATATAAGCAATGTTTAAAATTCAATCATTTTAATTAGTTTAAATTTGCGCAGGCTTCTTGTCATTGAGTACAGGCTGTTGTCGTATATAAGCATTGTGTCCAAGTATACAAGGATTGTATAGTGTACAAGTATACAAGCATCCTAATTGGTTACGCAACATGCATTTACATAACAGGTGCCTAACTGCCTATACAAAACCGGGTGTCTGTAAACTTATAATTAAGGGTGAGACTATAGGCACCCCTTTCACCCCCGTTTGCTATAGGCACCCCCTTTTGCACCCTGTTTTACTATAGGCACCCCTTTTCCATTCGTTAATTCTCGCACCCCGTTTTTTCCGCGGACTATAGGCACCCATTTTTAAACTTTTTTCCCAGAAGGCTGACAACAATGTTTTGACAGTTTTATTGTTTCACAAAATTTTTTGACGATCTTACATTCTGACATAATTTAGGTCACGCATTCAAAAAAGAAAGGTATGTTAGGCACTCCATTCTACTACAATTGGCCGGTTTGGCTGATCGGCCAGCATAGATCGAATGCGCACGGCTTCTTCCACGCGCACGACAATATCGCCCTTTTGGATGGTTTGCTCGTTCGCTCATTGTTTCCGTCCGACGCTTTTTGGGCATCTTAGGAGGATTTCAGTTTCTAGAACCTCTGCTAGCCATGCACGGTGGGTGGCAGCTTTTGTGAAAATGCGCGATTACGGTTATTCGTGTTCACGAAACGGGTGTTTCAGAATATCTGGCGTGCATCAGTCATGCCAAAAGCTTGTACGTAAATTTCAAATTTTTGGGTCTAATTTAAGGTTATTACTGAATTTAGCCGAACGGGACAAGGTTTTCTCAAAACGATCTTAAACATTTAATTAGTAAACCGATACAGGCTAACTGCTACTACCATATTTGGCAGATCTATCTGTAATTGCCAGTGAAACTATACTCAGTATATTATTATTGTTATACGTTCCGCTCCGTAAATCTGAATTTTTAGTGTTAAGTTTGTGGATTTCCTAAAAAGCAATTTATCGCCGATTTATTCCGCGCAGTTTGCGCGGGGTCTACTAGTTTAATTATAGGAAATGGCTAAAGGCACCCCCTTTCACCCCCGTTATCTATAGGCACCCCTTTCGCACCCACTTAGACTATAGGCACCCCCTTTTCGATTAATTAATCTCTGCACCCCGTCGTGTGCGAAAGATATAGGCACCCCCTGTTGTCCGTTGCTATGTTTTAAGGTCAAATTTTGTTGACCTTAGAGAATTTTCAGAAAGTCATTTACCACCGGCTCCGGATTTTTTGCCTATTCCTTTTGTAATATTATATTATGTGAGTTGCTGCAGGAGTAACGGCTCTGTAATAATAATGTCTGACAGTTCTGTAATAAGTAGCCCATCCGAAGATAATCCACGATCTGACAATGACCTGGTTTACCCAACCACTACCGAAGAAAACGACCTGAAGGACAATTACCCGGCGTTTTCCGAATTCGAATCTGCTTTCAAGCAGATTCGAATTCGGAAAACATCATTTTGTTTTGTCACATAAGCGACAAGGTGACCCGTTCGTCACCGTATACAACAGCCTGGACGCCGCGCTTCCGGAACATATCCTCCTTCAGTTATCCATGCTCTACGGACGCGAAACGCGTGATGTGAACATTAGGCTTCCGGTTGTGCAGCGCCAGTTGCCTGGCACGAATCAATGCGGGCCAATGGTCTGCGCTTGGCAGTGTGAAATTGTGCAAGGGCACAGCTAGGCCAGAGAACCTGGTTGACGCGTACGGGTGGTTGGACGACAGTCGATGCAGGAAGGTGCGATTTGGCTGCGGAGCAATTTGGTGTTGCGACAAAATTATGTACAATACTTGTGGTTGGTGTAGTGGGACCAAACCTGAATTTAAAATTGTAACGGTGCTGCAATAATGCTTTTAACTTGGACTGGAATTTGTGATAGCTATCAGTAAACTGACGTTTTCACAGCTTTCAAAAATTAAGAGGCCAAGCTGTTCACTTAAGCAGCTACCAGTTACTCGAGTAGCAGATACTAGCTAGTTTTGAAATTTAAGAAACAGCAGAACCAGAAAAGAGCGAACGCGACGAAATAATACACATGAATTCATTTCATCACGCGCGAAACAGCTCCCCGATTCCAAGCAGAGCCATTCTGCTAGGCTTGCACACATCCAGGAGTCTCAGATCGGTTTCCATCCATAATCTGGGTGTTCCATCGGCGTGAAATCCGCTGAACCTGCGAACAAACAGTTATAATCCGTGTTACTGTGTACTCAATACGAACAAGTTTAGTCCGGCTCCCATATTATTCTGATTTGTGTACTGTGTTTTGTACTTTGTGCAGTGTGCTTCTCTTTTTGTACAAGAGACGCAAACATACCATAGACTGCAAAATTAACCTGACACTGACCAATATACGAGTAAAAGCCGGTAAAGCCGATTGTGCAACTGATTCGGTCCGACGTCAGATTACAGGGGTGCTACGCCAAGTTGGGCACTTTTTCAAAAAAATTGTTATAGCTCATCGCTAACAATTACACACTTCTTAAACTTTTTAAATAACATCAGATGAGTCTGTCATCTTTCGCACATCAGTCTTCCACGCTGACAACGTGTTTCGAATTTTAGTCAGTTCAAAACTAGAGCAGACCTGCTTTAAGTTGTGGCTCGACACATGTGCCGAGGGAGAGATATCATATCTATATTTTGCTCGTATCTATAATTTGCTTAAATTTCACTAACGATCTTATCCAGAGAAAACAAATTTGTCATTCAGTGCTCTCACGAAATATGTTCAAGATCGTATTTCATCCAAACCTACGTGAACTTTGCAATGGAACTGTGGCCAAGCCAAGTTCGGACACATTCCACTAAAAATTACTGCGAGATAGCCGTCAAGAATTCAAACAATATTCAAACAATCTGTATAGTCAGCGTATGTGTCCAGCAACTTTTGTACTTAGGGTTCGTACGCTGGAAGCATGTCTCGAATTACAGTGAGGTCAAAACTAGAACGGACCGGTCTCGACATACGACTCAACCCATCTGATGTTGGAGACATCTCCCATTTCATAATTCATCTGAAAATTCCACAGCTTCCTATTCCAGAGAAATTAATTTCATCTTATGTGCCAACCAAGTCCCTTCCGGATGGTGCCTGACACCACCCGATTTTTGCCAAAACCGTGTGACCTTGCAGTCTTCCTATGGGCCCTGTCAAAACATTGGGTGACCTCGGGCGGGCGCTCTTGGTATAGCTGTGGGAAGTCGTAAGTGTGTACTTTTGATAAACTCTCGTTCTTGGACCACTAACAGACTACTTTCGGTTTTCCATCCCCACAAAAAACCCGATGCGTGTCGCACCTACAAGTTTTAACATCGATCGTAGCGTTTTGCAGTCACTGCTTTGTTAGATTTTTCTACCATTTGTTCAGCACCTGTATCTTCCCGCCAATATTACTAATATCCGTGCATTCTTTAAAATCATGTAGCTTATCCATGTTTCACTCATAGAAGCTGTCAACTTCATTCTGTCTTCAAGCCATTCGTATCCGTGCGCTAGGCAAAAACTTTTTTCGGCAGGTACAGTATAACATACAGGTCTATGGGAGATACAATTTGTTTTGAAGTCGCGTCTAGCACCCATCGCGCAGGAATATTTTCTTGACCCGTCATGAACACCTTTGAGAGGCTCCAGAGTTTGCAAAAACGATCACGTAAAAAAGCAGGTTCGCGAATTTTCTAGATTTGCACAAATAAATAACTCAAAACCGACCACTGCCCCGCCCACTTAATCCCCGAAAGGCTACGCACTGACAAGTCAGAAAGTTTCGAGTTTAGTGTTGCTGGATTGGCCATAAAAAGTTACACAACAAAAGTGTTAAAGGAAAAACATAAAGATTTACAAAAGTATTTCAAAATTTATTTTATGAAACTGTCCGAACTTGGCTTGGCAGGGCTGTAGTTAAAGCCAGATGGTGACCTCCTGTACAAGCTTGTCCTGAACTCAGGTGAGGTTTTCGACGACCGGTTTCTATAAAATCTCATCTGGCAAGGTGCTGAGCAAGTGAGCATCTATTTAAAAGCTTTTATCCGCATATTTAGCCAGAGACAGTTTGCTTTAGCAAATTCAAATTGCAACCATAACTTTTTTGCTTGTCGCTTTGTTCTCCCAGTTGTCCGGCACTTTTATCTTTCCACCCGTGTAACAGATCACCATTAAAACTTTAAAACCGTTTAATATAATCAAAATTCTAACCACGGAAAGTATCAGCTCGAGGTGACGTACGTCCCTGTGCTAGGCAACCACATCCTTCGGTATGTACCTTATACCATACGAGTCTATGGGAGACAAAATTTGATTCGAAGTCACCTCGATCACCGATTATCACCTCGAAGTCACCTCGATCACCGAAAATTTGATCACCTCGATCACCTCGAAAATTTGATTCGAAGTCACCTCGATCACCGATTGTAAGAATCGTTTGCTATCCCATGACGGACACCTTTTGGACCACTAAACTGTTTTCAAAAATACCGGCAAAATATTATTTAGGAAATTTTTTATAAGGGATGTTATAAGCACCCCAAAAACGCACACTGCCCTTCCCTTTTGTAACCCGCATAGCTCGTTACTGACTAACTCAGAGATTTTGATTTTGATACGGCGAAATCAGCCATAAAAACTCACACTGGAAAACTGCAAAACGATAAACAAAACGACGCATCGAAACATTCAGTAATTCATTTATTGCAAGTTAATGCAACAGCCCAACTTGGCGTAACCTCTGTAGTTTCGCCGTCCATTGTGCTTTTACTTGTCACCGACAGTCTAGCACCAATAATCAGTAGTGAATACGTATTTAACTTATCACAAGCAATAAACGTTTAGTTTTCTTGAGCTGATCAAAAGCTGCAACTGTTTATGCTGACCTTTAACTATACCAAGCTTAAGCAAAAGGAGGGGATTTTGTGACCTGACTGACCCGACTCGAAGTGGCGACGACTTGAACTGATCATAAGTAAAAGTTGAATTCTTTTACTTGTGATAACCTCGAGTAATAAGTAGGAAACCACCCGAACTAGAATTTGAAACACTAAAAATTAGCTGTAAAGGTTTAAGACTGGATGGGGATCGCTGTCTACCAGCTTTGGCACGTAATTACGCGCGGGAAGCGATTGCGGAAACGCGTCCGATTTCAGCTTTCAGAAGAGCGGAATGGGCGGGACAGGCAACGGGCCAGGATTTAGTCCGCTATACCAGACAATCGTAGATGGCCGGGAGTGAACGGGAAACGGGTCCGATTCGGGCTAGTTTACGGGACGGAAACGGGTCGAAAGCTGAATTTTTAAAACGAGCAAAAATTGCTTTCCACACGGAGACCTCAGGTGGGGCTCTTGTTTTTTGAGAGCTGAAGATGACTGGCACCGCCACACAGAAAGCCAAAAAGAAAAAAACATGCCAAATTTTGAATCGTAAAAAGTGCGAATTTCCCGAGAACGGCCATTAGTTTGCAGTCGTCACTCGTTGACGACGTTATCAGCGAAAGCGAGGGCTACATTTTGGAGAAAATTTTCAAAGCGCGATAGCCAGCAGACAACAGCTGTGCAAAAATGTTTGGAAAAACTAAGTTTTGCTTCAGACAAAATACTTTTGATCAGCATAGCAAAAAAATTATAACTAATAAAAATCGGTTGGTTCTGCTTAGAGTTAGGCTCACGCATCAGTATAAGTAAAAGTGCCACACTTTTACTTCAAAACTTAGTATAAGATGTAAGTTCCAGAGGACCAGCACAATTAGAGCATAGAGGTTGTGGGTTCGATTCTCTCAATCGACCGATTTTTTCACTTAGAGTTCTATGCGTTTCTCTGCTTAGCCCAGCCCGCCGTTCACTGTGCTCTACCTTTAACGAGCCTTGTTTGGAAAAAGCAGAACTGTAGCGGTCCGCCGGTCATCACAAGCTATGCCTGACAGCCTGAGTCCGTGTATGGGGAAATAGCGACTGCAAAGTTTGCATATAGACGCACGTGGAAAACAAACTTTTGTGCCAATTTCCCGTACAAGGACTCTGTGCTATAACTTGTGAGGACCGCTACAGTGATCTGCACCGATCGGTTTTCGTTTTTAGCTTTCGCTCTTCCATTTCAACGAATACACAGTCCAATTAATTAACTGTCAACGGATAAAAGCAGCGGCTATCTGTTCAAATTCAACGAGGAAATGCTATATGTGTGATGGGTACAATCCCCGATCAGGATAGCATTGAGGAAGTGTTTTTCTTATGAATTTGTGTTGTTTTGAGTACTTAGTTAGTACTTACGAGTGATACTTATTAAAGGTGACTTTTAAATTCAAAAAAACTGTCAACAACTTACACTGATAAAAATGCCCGGATTGTCTCCCATTCATGAGGATAAGCGATAGTCTGCACCCAGCGAGCATGAACGCTCTTGACATGTGCATAAACATCCTCCGCAACAGGTGGGAAATTATCGTCCAATGCCCACATGAATCTACAGACCATACTAACCAAATCGTTGCTGCAGTCGAAAACCAGCTTCGGGATGGTGACTTGGATTTTGTCAATCTCGAGTACGTGTATTTCGGACTCTTGTGTGGGAGGTTTCATCCACTTAACCTCATGGGCTGGCAGAGGCACGAGCGGGAACACGTTATAACGAGAATTAAAACTTTGTGTCAGAGCAAGGCCAAAAATGTTGCTAAGTTTCCAGTTGTGGAGCACGATGCACTTGCTTGTATCCTGATAAATTGTTAACCATATTGTCGCGCCAAAGCACACAAAAAACCGCATGTCTCTAGATCCGGAGAATATGGGAATCCTCGTTGCGTTTGGGAACATGGTAAGGCTGTTGGGTTCGGTAAAAGCGTAATCTTCAAAAACTAGTATTGGCAACTTGATCTGCATGGAATTCAGCAAACTGTATAAATAGAGATCGTTGAAGAAACGTTTCCGTATAGCTAGGCTCTTTGTCGCTGAGCTGACGGTACGGCTAAGAAGGTATGCACCTTTGATGCAGTTGAAGTTGTCTGACTTTGATTCTTTAGAACATGTTTCCAAACAGATCCGGATTTGCTCGGTCGCGCGACGACTGCTCAAGAGCTGCTGCCATAAAGCGCACACCCTGTGAAAAACAAAATAAATGTACTAATGTAGCCATGACAGACAGCTAAAAGCTCCAAGCTCGGACAGTAAAAAGACCTGTTTTAACCGCATACCTTAGTAAGAAAAGAATCATGTTCATTCAAAAATGTTTTGAAGTGACGGTTTAGCCGCACTGTTTATGGCAGAAGCTTGTTGATTACTATTTTGTGCTTTTAAGCAGCTCTGGCTAGACCCTTTTGTCACATGTACAGTACTTCGACGCATTAGTACGTACTCGGTTAGCCTCGGCAGCTCGTTTAATAGACGTTTATCTTATCAGTATCAGGTCTCTTACATGAATCAAGTTTCTGAGATTCCTTCAGTTTCTTGGTATTGCTTGAATTTTAGTGTATAGGTGTGAGCCGGTGAACTTGAGAAATGGTATCATGGACTTGACACATGTGTATCAACACTATCATGCAGCGCACAAGAACGCCTCCGAAGTCAGCTAGTACTGGCCTAGTAATTACTGTAGCCGCTAGATGAACTTGCACTTTCTGATCCGGCCACTGCCTGCCCCTTGCCGGCAACGCACACGTCACGTCACATCGAGCAGCGTGTGACTTTTCCGTACAACCAGACCCTGTGGTACAAGACTACAAGTAAATTTAGAGGCTGCACGCCGCTACAGTACTAGCAAACAGTAACTGCAACCTTACGCCGTTGGCATGGAGCTGTGCTTGTCTCGCTGAAAACTGTGAGCCGTTGTACCTTAATAGTGTAAAATGGTTCAGGGGGTGATACGACAACAACAACAGTATGCAATGGCTTTAACTTTACAAAGCCGTGTTGTATTTTCACTATATACATTTTGCGCAAGTGTCAGGGCGATTCAACACACGGTGGAACACGGCGTTTCAGCAAACCATTTTTAGGTTAACTACTCGTATGGTCGTTTAAGTGAAACACTATGGTAAGTGAATGAGCGATGGTCGTTTAAGTGAAACACCCAAAATTTTAAATTCCACAAACCGATTTTCTTTTTTTTTTAAATTCCACAAACCGTTTTTTTAATCTGAATAAACAGGTTATACCGGCACAGAGTATTTGAAATTTTTAAAAAATCTTGAATCATTTTCTTGCAACGGCGTCGCAAAGAAATCAAGTGACGAAAGCGCTTAAGCCACGCCACATGAGCTACAAAAATTAACTTTTCCCCAGCTGAGGAACTGGGATTTAGAGATCCCGGAGAAACCAACGCACACATGATGGCTGACTTCGATCAAAACGCCAGCATGCGCCATACGCATTTGTGCGCAGAACCTGCGACGTCTCGCTACAAATCTGTCGATTCTGTATTGTGTTTTCTCGATAGCTGTCTCACCTTTTTTGCCCTTTCGCGCGCCAGCGTCCAGTGTTGCATTGATTCAGATGCAGCCAGTCGATGCTAGTACGCGCAGTGGGGTGAAAAGGTGCGATAGCTATCGACAAAACACTGCTTTGTATATTCTCGATGAAAGACGGTTGCGTAAGCACGCATGCGTACATGGACGCCGTAGATCGTATTGCGGTCAGAAAAGCGTCTGCTGACGTTCTGATCGAAATCAACCATTATGTATGAGTTGGTTTCTCAGAGATCTGTATTCCCAGTTCCTTAGCTGGGGAAAAGTCAGTTTTTGCAAATATGGCTTAATTTCTAACGATACCAAGCACAGGTAGATCAGACAATCAGGAGTTGTGGTATGCGCCTCGTTAATATTTCGGATGTTTCACTTACAAGAAACCGCTGCGGCTTCGCCTCCGCGTTTCTTGTGTTCCACGGCCGCTTTAAACAAATCATTGCATTTACAGTAATTCGTTAGTAAATTCACTAACTGCTTTAGCAGTTACTGTAAAACTGCTTAGGCAAGGAGTCTAGCTCGGTCACTCACTCATCTAGCAATTTTGTTCACTGGACAGCGGTGTGGTAGCTCTGTCACTCACTCACCTAGCAATTTTGTTCAGTGGACAGTGGAGGTAGCTCGGTCACTTACTCATCTAGCAGTTTTGTTCACTGGACAGCGGTGGTAGCTCGGTCACTTACTCATCTAGCAGTTTTTTTCACTGAACAGTGGTGGTAGCTCGGTTACCCACCTAGCGATTTCGTTCACTGGACAGTGGTGGTAGCTCGGTCACTCACTCACCTAGCGATTTTGATCACTGGACAATGGTGGTAGCTTGGTCACTCATTTACCTAGCGATTTATTGCTCGGTCATCACTCAGCTAGTGATTTCGTTTTTTTCACTGGACAGTGATGTTAGCTGGGTCACCCACAGCCTTAGCAGTTTAGTTCACTGGCTTTTGTGTCCTTCGAAACCTGGGCTAATCCCATCATGGTTCGGGAATCGGATTTTTTTAGGCATTTGAACACTGAACATTTGAACAGCAATCAGGCGATTAAAATTCAGCATGTTTGCAAATAAAATAACTACAAATTTATTATAGTACATACTAACACTTTAGGACACTTTAATAAATGTTCTCTTAAATAATTTTTTTAAGAAATAAAATGCATGTGGCACAGTTTCTGAACATGCTGAATCTAATGGCGTTTACAGTTTTTTTGTTAGGTTGTGGTTTTTCCGATCTCGATACCGGTTTTTCCGGTCTCAGCTTTTTTTATAGTTATATTATAGATCTAGTTCCTTGATACGACCATCGCTCATTCACTTATAAGTTATAACGAGGTACGACGTAAACCTAAGGCATAAAATCGACTGCTGACACGTCACGTCAGACTTGTTGAGACCATATGCTGTTTGCCCGTAGACTTTCATAAAACTTGGTAGTCCAATAACTTTTGATGTGACCATCTAAAACTGTATAAGGGTATACCAAAAGAAGAGAATAATCAACTATATTTTCTGATACCAAGTTTGTGGGGATACGTTACCAACACAACAGAATATGACTGTTTTCATTTAACATGGAGGTCTATGGAAAAACCTGCCGTTATCATATAATCCTACTGTAGACGGCCACACTCATCCAGGCTGAGTCCCAACTTCCAGCCAAGTCACTGACCACAACACGTGATCAATCACTGATCAAGAAGTTGCTCATTATTTTTAAGCCTTTTGAACCATTATTCCTTTGGAAACGGCACTGATTCCCTTTTAATGCAGGATTTAGCGCAGCGGTGGCGTATACCACGGTGCCAGCCAAAAATATATGGAGATGCTACGTTTTGCATTTTTGCTGACTGAAATTTTTGCTAAACTAATGGCAAAATACCTTCTCTTATGTTTAACGCAAAAAACCCTTACTCAGTCATGCGAGAAAGCTGTCCTATTCGAGCGTAGGTCTGCGTAAACCTATGGACTCCGAGGCATCGGTCTCCTCTGCCGTGACCTCATCGTACAGGGTGCCAGTTGGATTATATGCCTTAATCATTCGTAATGCCTCGGTTATCCTTTATAATAAAAGATTAAGAGTGGGTGTGGCCAATGCGTTTGCGCTCCTTTTACGAACGACGTACTGGGCCAATCCTTACTATCTATACAATATGTAATAGCCCTTATTTAGTAGCAGTAGTAGTTACCGACAGTACACTGTACAGACTGTAGTGTGGTCTTATAGCATGTCAGTACCGCACATTTTATCCGTTGCTGAGCAAACAGCGCCAAGCGACTGGACAGTCTGGTCTTATCCACCCAATGCTAACCTGCACGTTACATGCGTCTAAGCAACTAAGCAGCTGAAGCGATACAAACTGCTTTACCTTTTAATCTTTGCACATGAATGCAGTTCCAGAAGATTTCACTCAGGAGGAAAGGAAAAGATTTCACTCAGGAGGAAAGGCGGCAGATTGGCAATAGTGACACCTTTATTCAGCTGGTCCCCGTGTACATCTACAAGAAGACGTAAATGCTCAGCGAAAAAATATTTCAGCTAGCAGTGAATCCCTTTGTCGGAGGTTTAAAATTTCGATTTTTAAATACACTTATAGAACAGTATCCATAACAACTTCCATAGCGCATCAGACACGATGAGCTCGTTGTCCGTAGAAGAAGTCAGCCTTCCGGCGCTAGCCTGAGAACAGTAGTGAGGCGGCGAAACAGGTGTAAGTTGATGGTTTGGAGTCGAAAGTCGATCGAATGGCTTGAACTGTGGCTAATGGTAGAAGTGCGCAAACGCTACACTTGGTTGCCAAATTACAGCCGTTGAATGGCGTTCGAAGTTCTTTTGTTTTGTTAACACTAGTTAGCTAGCTAGTCAGAAATATTTCTTTTAGAATTCCAGTTCAAAGATTTTCACGATATTCCCCCTCGCGCACAGCAGGTTTCCCATTGCAAGTTATTTAGTTTTACAGTTGAAGCTAACGATGTACGAGTAATTCGATAAGATACAGCGAACTTTGACTTTTTTTAACAAACTGTGATGTTTTTTTTTCACCTTATAAAAATTTTTATTGTCAAATTAGCAACATCAAGTTTAATTTTAGCAACATCAAAATTTAACGAGTCTGGCAGAACCGTTACCACATAGCACATACTGTCATCTGATTGGTTGCCATTTTCGGCCGTTATGGCATGTTGTGTTTGCGCACTTCTACCATTAGCCACAGTTCAAGCCGTTCGATCGACTTTCGACTCCAAACCATCAACTTACAGCTGTTTCGCCGCCTCACTAGTAATAACTGATGCCCAAGGACGAAAAGAGGTTTTGTCTATTGTGCACCCGAACGTCGAAAGCGTGGTAGCACAATCAAGTCAGATGGTCACCAAGATTTGCCGTGTTTGCATAATCGAGAACCACTCGGAAAGTTTAGCAGTTTGTTTCAGTCGGTATTTCATCAAACTGGAACCTACAGACCTTTCCAGAGAAAATGGGAAGTGCCCAAACGGAATCACTCTACAGTTCTTCCAGTTAGAGAAGGAAAACAGCTGGTTTGGGACGATCTGCACTCACTGTGCGTTGAATACTATGCCAGTGCATGGTTGACTTAAGGGAAGTGACCCGGATTCGTATACACGGACGTGAAAGCCGTTTGTGCGCGAAACATGCGGTTGAAGAGTACATAATACATTTTGACACTGTACAGTATAGTTTCGACTATACCAATAATACCATACAATGTCCTAAAACAATGAAAAAATTGTTGGAGAGTGCGCGAAAGTGAGAGTTTCCGTGCATGTACACGAATTTGGTCACCAGCGTATCCGGTCACTTCCCTTAAGAGTCAATTGTGAATGGTTGCGCCACGGTGTAAAGGGTAAAACCATTCACAATTGACGGTGTTGCGCCACGGTGTAAAAGGTTCTACCCTTTACACCGTGGTTGCGCCAACCGACAGCGGCCACGCTTTTTTCCCGCCAATACATCCATACTTCGCTATATTTATTTCTCAGCAACCGATCAACAGCGGCATATAAAGCAGCAGTATATTTCTCAGCATTTCTACTACGTATACTTACTACAAGCTACTAGTCCAATAATCCTACTATAGATATAAGTACTTAAGTACAGTGTATAAATCTATATACTTAATATATATTTCTGCTATACTTAAGTATACTTCGAACAACCGGTTTCCATGATCTGTTTGTTCCCTGGTCCTCTCTTTGATTCATTTGTGATTTTAGGAACCGGATATGCCGCAAAACTGCTTTGGGAGTAGAATTAAAATTTACTTCTACCGTGCACGCTAGTGTACGGGATCAGCTGTTAATCGTGTAGAGCGCCACATTGATGTTAATGAGTGGTGACCGGTTGTTTAAAACGTAAGAAAAAAGCTCAAAGCTCGGGGCAACTGTTTTCGTTTTTAATGGAATTTTGTATAATGGAACTGGATATTTTAAAAAATAAAATATAATTATTTTGCAATTAATATTATTTTTTAAATGCGCGATTTTTTGTGATCAGTATAAATTGGTTTGTGTTTTTATTAAAGCTGGATTACGTATATATTAAAGTTCAAATAAAATATACATTTAAAAATTAATTTTTGATTTCCTATACTTGTGCACTTTGGGGTAGATTTTTGGTGACAGTGTGACAGCTCCTCCCACCTGTGTGACGTCAATTCTAAAACAAAAGTATTTTAAAATTAATTTTTAATTTTCTATACTTGTGAACGGGTAGAATTTTGGTGACAGTGTGACAGCTCCTCCCACCTGTGTGACGTCAGTCCTCAAGCAATATATATATTTTAAAATAAAATAAAATGGAACAAAGTGAAAGATTCCGTTTACAACAGTCAACACAAAAAACACTAGCAAAACGGATAAATTAAAAGAAACTGTTATAAGCACCCATTCGTGCCCCCCTTTTTGGCACATCTTTCTGTACCATTCAGTGATGCATTCCTGGCTTTCGTTTTCTTCGAGTTGTGTACGTTGCGCCTTTGCAATGCGTTCGCCAAATGATCGCTCAATTTCTGCACTTCCACATGCATGCCTGACCCATCTTAATTTTTATTGCTGTGAAAACAACTTTTTGTGATACGATTTGTATAATGTTAATTTGTATTTTGAGATAGTTATGCTGATTTTCGTGACTTTCTTAGCAAGGCTGTCAGGAAAAACATACGGGCTTCAGCGCGGATTTCGTTAAGCACTTTTAAAATAATTTTATTCCACAGCCCGGTTGGCGATATCGCCAATAGTGATAACTTCCTCCATTTTTCTTCAGTGAGCGGGTGGTTGTGACAAGTAACTTTGTCGTTGATCTTTAGCACCTTATTAACGAAGCGAACCTCCCAAAATTCTGATGGTCGCTGGTTCTTTTTTACATTTAGTTGCGATACGACGCAGCGCACTCAGCACCTAAGCGATCGCGCTTTTGAAAGCGTTTCAGTAGCTCCGAAAATTACGAGCTCGTATTAAAATTCAGTAGCTCGTATTTCTTTCTTTTCATTATTTTATCCAATGCGCACTACTGTAGAAGTACAGATGTTGCATCTTATGGCACTATCGCGTAGCTAAAACGCACTTAATTGCAAAGGGGTGTATAAAAAAATCTGGTGCTTTAACACAGAATGATTAAATAACTATTAAAGGGGTGTCAGGTGTCTATAATCAACCATTAGAGCACGAGTACAGCGCATGTGCTGTGTGGGTATTTACATGGAGCATTCACGCGCTTCCTGCGCGCTAGGTGAAAACAGTGTCAGTACACCTTTTCATGAAGGTCACCCACATATCCCAAGTTTCCAAATGGAATTTATTTGTATTAGATTAAACTTCGCTCACGATAAAAAAATTCAAAAAAATTTAAAAAAATTTACGACGTAAAAAGAGAAAACTGAAAAAAACAAATTTGTTGCAAAACGAATTTATTTACTATTAGAAAAGTAGAAGATCAAATATATAATTTTTACTGGAATTTTTGGAGCGCATAACAATTCACTATGTATCCGTACGCGTTGGAAAATTTGGAGTGCGCATTGCACTTGTTAACAAAATTGTTAATGCGAGATCGTGCCCACCAAGTTTCCCCGTTTTTCGAACAACGAATCAGCTGTTTACCCTTTTTTAAATTTTACAACATTTTTTAAAATGTTTGAAATTTGTTTTCAAAATTTAAAAAGCGTGACTCACAGGAAGGACTCACGCGACCACCGATTAAGTACACATTTACCATAGTGGTCCACTAAAACGAACAGGGTTTACGTTGAATTTCAGTTAAATGTGTTCATGTTCGAAAAACTCTCTTTGCCGTCTAAGTCTAAGCATGGGCCGGAGAACATAATTATGAAACTCGAATATTTGTGTACTAAAGACAACGGGATCATCCAGTAATTTCGTACTGGCAGTACAGACGTCTGTAAACACGAATCCAGGGTGCAGAATTTTGCAAAGCCTTAGAGTTAACACTGCTTGTGAACTCAACCACCACTGGTACGCGTAGGAGTTCTGTCATATATTGCCTTCCTGAAATTTGTGGATGATCCTGACAAAGTACTTTCGTTATTTTGACATACATACCTCACAACAAGCCCAGCACGGATGAATATTGGCCGATGACTATTGAAAAATAAGTAATTCTAAGGATGTGTTGCTTTGCGGTCGCTTACAGACTGTCATAATATTAATGAACCCGTACGTATGTTTAGTAATATTATGATACACTTTACATAAGTTAATCGAAACACGGACTGCCTTCTTGTACATACAGTACATAACTTCCAATGATGACTAACGCAGTGATGACTGACGTGTTAAGTTACTTACATAAATTTTTTACTTTGTATTGTACTCGTACTTATTGTTAAGTAGCAGTTCAGATATTGCTACTGTTCTGGGTCAAGTTGTGTTAGAACAGTGTGCATTTCTTATCGCGTCCATGGTAACAAGCTTATGATTGACCACTGGACCTAGACAAATGATTTGGGCAAAACGTCAACAATCTTGGATCCACCGCTACACCTAGAGAATTTTGATGTACTTTAAAGCAACAAAATTGGTGAAGTAGAAGCCGAGATCCTTTGCCTCAAAGGACAGGGCCGAAGTCCTGGCACAGATAATCAGTATTCATATAACAAGCTGAGCACGGATGAATATTGGCTTGCGACTATTTTTAAAATTTTGTTGCCGTCAAATCATGCAGTATGTTGCAACATCGTTAGAAACAAGCTGTTTCCCTAGAAATCTGCAGATTAAGCGAGCACGCGCCCTTGTCAGCCTTATGGCATCCATGGTAACAAGCTTTAAAGTGACCACTGGTCATGAAGTTCTGCAGACAGCAAGCAATAACTGGTCTCAGAACACCCGCGTGATCGAGAGGTTTCTAACGCATTTTGAAGTAGGAAAATTGGATGAGCAGAAGCTGAGATCACCGGCGCCGAATGAGAGGGGCCCAAATCCTGGCACAGATAATTAGTATTCATATAACCAGTTTACGGGATCTACATCCGTACACAAACTTTTGCGGCGCAAGTTTGCTACGCAATGCGCACTTCGCAACGGTTGATTGCATTGGTCCCAGCCGCTAAGAAAACTACGAAAACTAAGAAAGAGAAAATCTAAGAAAACTTGAGAAACCCTAAGAAAGCCTAAGAAACCTAAGAAAACAAAGAAACCCAAGAAATCTAATAAACCTAAGAAACTTAAGAAACCTGAGAAACCTAAGAATACCTAAGAAACCTGAGAATACATAAAAAAACCTAAGAAACCAAAGAAACCTAAGAAACCGAAGAAAACCTAAAATATCTAAGAAATAGCGTATATGAAAGAATACGAGGTATACCGATCACGCTGGTGGGATTGACTGCGATTAATTTTTGCACATGTTTTTTAAATTTTCAATACTTTGGAACGTGCCGATGCCGAAGGCCGCGGTCTGTCTTGGTTTTTCCGAACGGTCCGCAAACAGACAATGTATTTACCATGTATGTCTATGGGGGCCCATGGCAACAATTTGTTTTTTGGGGCTCCTCCTTCCCTTTTGGGGCGTATCGATGGCGCAATAGCGTAAGAACATTCGCGCCGTTGAGACGAATTTAACGCACTTGGCCGCGTCGAAATCGGTTCAGCCGTTCGCCCAAACATTGGCTACATTATCAATCGTGTATACGTGGTTACGGATGTAGATAACAAGCTGAGCACGGATGAATATTGGCTTACGACTGGGTAAATGAATCAGTTTAAAATTCATAGGTTGCAGTGTATTCGAGGAAGCAATAGCAGTTAGTATTTTGTTTGAAGCAGTTTCGTGCACAGCAGCTAATAGTCTCCTCAGAAGCTTGCAAATGAACTGAAGACGAGCTTGATCATTTGTTTGGTCCGATTTTGGACCATGAGAAACGCAAAGGCGAAGCCAAAGCTGTTTCTTGTTTGAGTACAGTATAATTGTGACCGTGGTAACAGACCAGCCCATGTTAGACCTATGGCATCCATGGTAACAAGCTTTTGAGTGACCACTGGGATTGCGGTTCTGAATTCAACAAACAACGACTGGTCTTAGATCACCCGCCAGACTGGGAGGTTTTCAAAACATTTTGAAGCAGGAAGATCGGATGAGCAGAAGCGGAGATTACCGCGGTCTAACAGGAGAGGCCAAAGACCTGCTAGAGATGTTTAGTATTCATATAACCAGTTTACGGGATCTACATCCGTACGTATTATCGCGGCGTACTTTAATTTCGAAACTTTTTATTTAACGAAATATACGAACCTAGTGTATTCAAAAAGTTCCATGAAAAAGAACTCTAAAAAACCTAAGAAAAGAAAACCTAAGAAAAAGCCTAAGAAACCTAAGAAAAACCTAAGAACCTAAGAACCTAAGAAACCTAAGAAATCTAAGAAATCTAAGAAACCTAAAAAACCTAAGAAACTTAAGAAACCTAAGAAACCTAAGAAACCTAAGAAACCTAAGAAAACCTAAGAAACCTAAGAAATCAAGGAAATCTAAGAGTCCGAAGAAATTTATGAAAGCTTTGTGAACAGAATCTTAAAAGATTATGTAATTTTAAACGCCAGGTTCTTTGTTATGTTATTATGTCGCGCTTTTACAATTTTCATGAATTGTTAGCGCAGCGAGGCCGAAAGGCGCGCGCGGTCTGTCGTTGTCGTTCTGCGTAAACTGATGTATGTGTATGGAGGCCCATAGCAACAAGCCGTTTTTTGGGGGTTGCCTTGCCCTCCTGAGGCGCAAAATATTCGCAGTGTCCCTATGTCACTCGCGACGTTGCGACGATTCCGGCGCACTTTACCGCGTCAAAATCGGACCATCCGTTCGCCCGATCATCGTGGTCGTCTGCTTAGCATGTATAAGAGGTTACGGATGTAGATAACCAGCTGAGCACGGATGAATATTGGCTTACGACGATTTTAAAAACTTTTTATTTTCTTTGCAGTATATTGTTTAGCATGTAATTAGTTTCTCGAAAAGTCAGAATGGCAAAGCCAGACAACTGCTCAGGATGGTTGTCCGCGACGAGCGTACTGCGTTGTTGACCTTTAATCCTGGAGCTTGTTTTGTTTTTTTCTCGCGTGCTAGGTTTCTGTTCATTCTACTCAAAATTGCCAAATTATTAAGCTACTCTAGCAGATGCAGCGGCCGAAATGATTTGTTCACTCAGTCCGTGAACAGAAGAAACGCAGAGGCCGAAGCTTTTCTTATTGTTTGAGTGTAGTCCTTTGTATATAATGTGCCCGTGGTAACCGGCCAGCCATGTTAGCTCTATGGCATCCATGGTAACAAGCCTTTCAGTGACCACTGGCCTTAATCATTTGATGATAGTAAGACAAGACTGGCCTTAGATCACCCGCAAGACTGAGAGGTTTTCAAAACATTTTAAAGTACGCAAATTGGATGAGTAGAAGCGGAGATTACCGCGGTCTAACAGGAGAGGCCAAACACCTGCAAGAGATGTTTAGTATTCATATAACAAGCTGAGCACGGATGAATATTGGCTTACGACTAGGTAAATAATCAGTTTAAAATTCAAAGGTTGCAGTGGATTCGAGGAAGCAACAGCAGTTATTATTTTGTTTGAAAACAATTGGTTTTTGATAAAGACAACAGATCTTGTTCAGTTTATCAGATTTAACGGATGACAGGAATGCTCTGCAGTCAACTTGCGGCTGCATCCGCTAAAATTTGTCCCTTTTTTGTCAGTGATTTGCCTTTTTTTGTTAGCGATTACTGGCATTATCGGTTAAGTTAGCAATTTCACTTCTTTCTTTTAAGTCAGAACATCTGAAGCCTAGTTTTTGGAGTATTGACCTTTTGCCCCTAAAGTTTGATTGGTTTGTGGCTCGGCTGCTGATTTTACGCTTGTTCTGCTAAACTCTCCAAATTCTAATAAGCTACTGTGGACAGTGAAGTGTCTGAAGTGATTCCTTCACTAAGCCCACAAGGTTTTCTTTATTCAAATTTAATGCCCGTGGCACCAGACCAGACTATGTTAGGCCTATGGCATCCATGGCAACAAGCCTTTGAATGACCACTGGATTAGCGGTTCTGAATTCAGCAAACAACGACTGGTCTTAGATCACCCGCCGCACTGAGAGGTTTTCAAAACATTTTGAAGCATGAAGATCGGATGAGCAGAAGCGGAGATTACCGCGGTCTAACAGGAGAGGCCGTAGACCTGCTAGAGATGTTTAGTATTCATATAACAAGCTGAGCACGGATGAATATTGGCTTACGACGATTTAAAAAACTTTGTATTCATGTGCATTATATTGTTTAGCATATAATTCAGTTTCCCGAAAAGTCAGAATGGCAAAGCCAGACAAGTGCTCAGGATGGTTATCCGCGACGAGCGTACTGCGTTGTTGACCTTTTACACCTAGAGCTTGTTTTGTTTTTTGCTCGCCTGCTAGGTTTCCGTTCATTCTACTACAACTGCCAAATTATTAAGTAAGCTACTCTAGCAAATGCAGCGGCCTGTGTGATCACTCAGCCCGTGGGACACAAGAAACGCAGAAGCGAAGCCAACGCTTTTCTTGTTGTTTGAGCGCAGTATAATGTGGCCCTGGTAACAGCCCAGCCATTTTGACCCTATGGCATCCATGGTAACAACCTTTTGAGTGACCACTGGGCTTGATATTGTGAAGATAGCAAACAACGACTGGCCTTAGATCACCCGCCAGACCGCGAGGTTTTCAGAACACTTTGAAGCAGTAAAATCGGATAAGTAGTAGCTGAGATTACCACGGTCTAACGGGAAAGGCCGAAAACCTGCAAGAGATGTTTAGTATTCATATAACAAGCTGAGCACGGATGAATATTGGCTTACGACTAGGTATTGTTAATAAGTGAGTTAGGATTTTTTGTTACTCGACACAGCAATACTGCGACGTAATTCTACGACTTAATTATGTGAGAGATTGACCGAACTGTTGATGCAGCTCATGGTCTGTGCATTGGGCAGCAAGATGCGACAGTGATCAAGTGAAATACTAGAAACGGTAATGTGCTTTTCTACTTTATTTCAGATCTTATCAAAATCTAAACAGATCCAATATCAAATTATGAACTGATTGATATAAGCAGGTTTCGTCGGTTAACCACAAGAAACACAGAGGCGAAGCCAAACTGTTTCTTGTGCAA